CGATCTTTATCGAGTTATATGTACTTTCGAGTGATACAATACCCTACGTCCTAAAACGATTCAACAACATGTATGTTAATACTTGACATGTTTTAATTTTTAGATAGTTGTACTTGATTTGTTTATATTAATTGAACGAGTATTCAAATGAGTTAATAAACAATTAAAAAATTCAAACGAATACGTGGCTTTTCATATAAAATCATTAAAAAAACATTTTAGAAATCTAAACAAACAAACAAACAATTGAATAAAGTTTTAATTAATATATAACTATTTTACTCAAATTAAATAAGATAGTATATAAGTTCCAAGCAAGCTTCATGCAATGGAAGAACATAAATAAGTATAATAAATTATTTCATTTACATAAAAACAAATAAAAGTGTTGCATGAATGTAATATATGTATTCATTAAGGATAAATAAATTATTTTGGTGGCATATACATAATTTGAAAGATATTATATACATAATTTGAAAGATATTATGGATGCTTATCTGGAATTTTGTTTCAAACATAGGAGTTAAAGCTTCAAAAGCTAAAAAGACTGGTTTAGGCTTATTGCTGAGTGTTGAGTAGACACTATGTAAAGGCATAATGATTAAAGATAAATAATAATAATATAAAATTAATTTATATTAACAATAACTAGGTATTATATTTTTCTATAATGATAACTAATTAATATTAAAAAGTATGATAGATTGAATATAGTCAATAAATTATTTAATTAATTAATAAATAAATATTAATATAATTAATATTAACTAAAAGTATTAATGATATTAAATAATTATATATTATTGCTAAAATTATATAATTAAATAAAAATTTCTTAATTAAATATAATTTAAAAAATATATAATATGAGCTATTATTGAAGTTAATATATAACATTCACTAATTTATTTTTTTAATTAAAAAATAATTTTATTGGTGAATATAAATAAAGAGTTAGACTGTGTTTATGATAGGTTTATTTAATGTTTGAGTTAAAAATAAATAAATGAACTTATTTATCGACTAATTAAGAAAATGATCGGATATTAATTGAGTTCAATTTGAGATATTCATGGAGTTAAAATACAGTTATAAATTTAACAATTAGAATTGAAATAGAAGGGTGGATTACAGTTTAGCAAAGTTATCGGCTAACTGCTCTGAGGAAATGATTTAATTATTACGTGAAACGTAACGATGGAAGACTACATTATTTATTAAGGCCCCATTTGGCGTAGTTTATAAGTGCAGGGTATTTTTGAAAATACCGCGGTACTGTTTTACCCGTTTATCCGTGAGTCGAACCGAGTGGTCGCCCCGCGGGTTGCGTTTCAGGACAAGCTGCTTATCCTAAAAAGCACGAGCTGTCCCAAACGCACTCTTAAGTTTCAATAGTACTGATTATATTTGGCAGGTGGTGGTTTTTGCAGGAAAGCCGATAAAATGGTACTTAGGGTATGCTTGCGGCAGCTTGTGTGTTTCGGGATAAGCAGACGGGGGTCGACCCGCTGCCTGCGTTTAGTGTAAAAAACCAAAACGAGATAGGCAGCGTTTTCAAAAACACCGAAACCAAACGGTTAGGCAGCGTTTTAAAAAATGTCGCCGCATTTATAAGCTACCCCAAACAGGCCCTTAGAAGAGTCTTTATTTTTTCCAAAAAAAAAAAAAAAAAAACAAGAAAAAAAAAAAAGAGTCGTTGCCATCAAATCAGTTTCTCTTCATGTGGTCTGTCTCTAACATTAATTTATAGTTGGGGAATTTACATCAAATTTTTACGCATTCATTTATCTCACACCTGATTTTTTATTTTTCATCAAAAAAATTTAGTGCTATAGGAAATAATGTAATCCATCTTTAAATATAATTTTTCAAAAATAAGAAAGGTGTTTAGCTCGTAAAAATCAATGTTTGGGTAGGGCTATCGAAAAAGCTCGTTGTTCGTGAACGGTGAACGATTTGTGTTCAGTTCGTCAATGAGTTCGTGTTCGAATCGTTCAATAAGTAAACGAGACGAATGCAAACAAATTTTTTTCGTCCGGTTAGTTAAATGAACCAAACATGAATAATTTTCGTGTTTGAACCGTTATTGTTTTAAATATAAAATAATTTAAATAATTATATATAAAAATTTTATGATATTTTAAAAAATTAAATTTTATAAATTATAATATGTAATAAATTAATAATAATAATAATATATTAATATACTATATTAGTAATATACTAATACATATTTTATATATTTATATAATATAAGTTATATAATTAATATAATATATTATTTAAATAGGGATGTCAAACTGGCTCGTTGTTTGCGAACAGCTAGTGTTCGGCTCGTTCATTGAGAAACGAACACGAACAGTGACTTCACGAACAATTTCAAAAACGGGCTTATTTCAAACAAACTAAATTTCAAACGAACCGAACACTAACACAAGCTCTGTTCGTTCGTATTCAGTTCATTTACACCCGATGAGATAAATAAATGCATAAGAATTAAGTGCTATGCATATAAATTTCCGTTTATAACTTTATAGATGTCAAATATGAGCATAGTTTTTTTTTCCCTTAATTTAATAGGCTAGTAATGGATATTATTTGCCATTCATTTTTCTACTTTTTGGCAACAATATTATACGAAAATGTGGAGATTATTAGCTAAGGGTCAGTTTATTGAGCTCGAGCTCAAATGATGAGCTCTTTTGTCACAACACAAGCCGAGTCTCGATGAACTTGAGCTCAAGTTCGTAGTTCGATAAACTCAACAAGCGAGCTCGTTAAATAGCCGAGTTTATGTGAAAAGTTAAAACAGGAAGAAATTTAAATATTTGATATTTAAGTACTCAAAATATTTAAATACCTTATAAATCTAAGTAATTGCTTTATTTAGCAGGATATAAATGCATTAGATCATTTATGATTATTTTCATTTCATAATACTTTTATAGTTCAATTATTTATAAATAAATGTATCAGACCGTCCTGATAACATTATATTAAGAGGGCCTTAACAAATGTTGAATTTATATTAGTATAAATAATTTATATATAATACTAATCACAATGTAAATTTAATAAGTTTCAAATGCATCCGACTTTATAGTTTGCAACATATATATGAAGTTTTTCATTATTTATTAGAAAATAATTTTAACCGTGCAAGTACAGTCAAATATATTCTTTAAATAATAGAAATATAATATATTATGTGAAATACTCAATAATGTATCTTATTCTTACATATAAAAATATTTGAGTGCTAAAAATACTCGACAAAAATAAACCTTAAACCTTCGCTCAATATAACTTTTCAGAACATAAACAGATAAACATTTAAGTGGCAATCAAAATTCTTACATGAAATAACTAGGAGGCCTAACCTAGTAATTAATGTAATATGCTGGGAAATTAAAAGTACACATGCTGACTCTTCTTCTAGTAAGTGGAAGAAGTGATTGCAAAAACTGATAGCTACTAGTATGTATTAGTAGTTTAGCTACAACAATCATAGTTGGGCTGCAGTGGTTGTAGTTGATGGTTATAACAATCATAATTGGCTATAAAAATCATAACTTATGGCTACAAAAACCATAGCAGGTAAACATAATAATTGTAGTTGGCCACAACAATCACTGGTGGAGATCAATAACAACTGGCTGACGTTCACCTGCATTTGCCTTCAAGAGTTATGTCTTGGATGTCCGTTCACTCTAATATTCCCTTATTTTTCCATATGAAGAATGATGGCTTATTTATTGTTTTTGAGAGAGAGGTTTTGATAAATTGAATTAAAATCTAGAAACACTCTATCAGATGGTTCATAGATAATTATTTTAGTATTTAGGTGTCTTAACAACATCCAAATTTAGTAATCTTAGGCCTGTTGGATTCCTCTCATTGAGTCGTTGCTTTTGACTAAAAACATGTAGAACTTATATATTATTTATTATACTTCAAATATTACTTTCAGTGTCATTAGGCTTATAATGTTGAGATATTCACTTTAATTATAAATTTGTTAAATATATAACTTAAATGATCTTGATTTTAAATATAGAAAAATTCTTATCCAAAATACATCTACATTCATGAGGGATCATATAAATTTCTTGGTGAGTTCATATAAATTCCGTGGTGCATATTATATTATATTTTAAAATTTTCCTTCAATATTTTGTTGAGATCCATGAATTCAAAAATGGAAGCCATCCATTGGATAAAAGCTTAAATATTTCAATTTATTTAGCCTTTTTTTTTGCTCATTTGATTGCTTCAAGTCAGATATCTTTTAACAAATGATGAATGTTAATAAATTAATATTTTTATTTATTTTTTTAGTATAATAATTTATTTGTTATGACTAATGAGTAACCCTGTAACACAGTAACATGATGTCTAAGTTCAAGTTTTTCAAGTGTAGAAAAAATTTCTTTTAGGTATATTTGAGAAAACTTTCTCATATTTCATTTTTGGAAGATTTATATAAATATCACTCAATTTCTATGTATTTACATGTTTAACATTTAAATTTTAACATTTATAAACAAGTCATTTTATTTAGGCAACAAAAATGTGAATTTGATATTTTTGATGTGATATAAGAATTGGGATGGTATAAATATTAAAATTAAAATTTAGGTGTTGGAAATGTAAATATATAGGAATAGAGCAGTATTCATCTAAATACTTTTTTTTATTTTTTATACAAATAAATAAATATCTATTAATTGCTAATTTTTGGTTGCTTTGTAAAAATTTATATGATAAACAGTTAGTTCTGAAAATTAGATCTATCAAAAATTAAAAGCTATAAGAAAGCTGGCGCAAGTCCTTTTCTTTATAATAACAATAATATTTTTCAAAATAAATAAATTAGTATATTTGGTAATTGTATTTAATTTAATATTAGTAGGAATTAAATTTATACAAATTTTAAAAGTGATATTTTAAATTTATATTAGATATATATATATATATAACTTCTAGATAGCCAAATGAGTCCTTATATAAATTTCAGATTTTGGCAGTATGAGCTGGGCAGCTTCTTACCAGTTTCATTTTTTGCTTCCACCACCCTCGCCTCGCCCTCTGTTACTCCTCTAAATAATTTGTCTCTGCTCTCTGCTCGTCTTCTCCTCTGCTCTCCGCCCATTCTGGTCATCCCTTCCTTCGCCGCATGAAGAGGCTAGTAAGTACGTTGTTTCATTGATCTGTTTGTTACTTCTCGGTTTTTTTCTGTTTTTTTCCTGAAAATCGCCGTCTTTCTCTACTGATTGGATTTTTCACTAACCGTGTTTTCTAAGTGATCAGTGTTTTTGCTCCATTTCTTCTTTCTTCATCTAATTCGCACTTCTCCATTCATTTATTCCGAAAAGATTTACTCTATTATCTGTTTGCTTGTTGATTTGGATCTTGCCGACAATGAGTTATTTCTAACAGTTTAGGTCCGAACATGTTTTTTATGCTATTGATTTTCGCCGACAAGGACTTTCTTTGTGTTTAAGAGCATAAATCTTCTGAAGATTAATTGTTAATGATCATCACAGCAAGTTCCTCAGTCGCTCAATCACTCAATTTTTGAGTCACCTGTTAACTTACTCTCTTCTTTTTACTGAATTCTCAAGTGGATTAGAAAAAACTTTACCAACTTTGCTGACTTTGTTTGGAGAAAAACTGAGAATCTATGCTGCCCATAATACAAATTTACTACCCATTTCTCATTTCCAGCAAGATCACGTTTTGATCACTGTTACATTTGTAGGAATTTCAGTGCTTGCGAATTCAGTCAGATGCGGTTTATACCCGTGAACTGTTTGTACTTTTGCCCAAAAAAAACTGACTTTTTTGCTTTCATTCTTGTTTTTTGTTACATTAGGTGGCATTGCTACTGGTTGTAGCAGTGGCTGGTTCCATCAAGGGTATTGAAGATGGCGACGGGGCTTGTAAATTAAAAAGAACGGTGGCCCCAAGGCCCCATAGCGTCACTCTTACTGAGTTTGGAGCTGTTGGCGATGGAGTGACGTTAAACACCATTGCTTTTCAGAATGCCATCTTCTATCTGAGGTCTTTTGCTGACAAAGGTGGAGCTCAGCTCTATGTTCCCAAAGGAAAGTGGCTTACTGGAAGCTTCAACCTCATCAGCCACCTCACTCTCTTTCTTGACAGAGGAGCTGTCATAATTGGGACGCAGGTCATTTTGGCTTGTTCTGGCTTTGATTCTTCAATCTTTATTTTGTTCTTGCGTGATGTGCAAGCTGAAGCTTTTTTATGTTAAGTTTTTTGCATGTGTTATGATTACCATATCGAGTCCTGCAGTTATTCGATGTTGTTATATAGGAATTGGACGAATTTGTAGTGATTGCTCACCAATTAAGTAATCATTACTTCTATGATTCTCAAATGATGCCTAATTATGTTGGCCCATAATACAATTATTGCATATAATTGACACTTCTTCAAGCTTTTATAGTATAAGCACAAATTCCTTGTTAAGCATGTATAGACTTTGATGGAATTATTTTATTCTATGAAAGATTAGAAAGTGTATTGAGTCAAAGAGTAACAAATTCATATAAAAAATGAGATTTTTTTTTTTTTTTTTTGGGAAAGTTGGGCTTTAATGATAACTAAGTTAGAGTATACTTTGAAAGTAGCCTCCTAGTTGGAGAAAAATTTCTCTATCTACTCTTTCATAGGTCTTGCACACACACACACACTCACAAAAAAAAAAAAGAAAAAAGAAAGAAGGATTGTGCTCAGCACTGCTTAGGCGGACCAATTAATACTCTTCGGAGCAAAGATGCCTAATCTTATTTTTCGTGTGAAATTATTTGATGAGTATAGCTGTTCTCAAAATCGAAGAACCTCGAGTCAAGTATTGACTATGCTGCTGTATTCTACTACAGAAAAATACAGCAATTTTATGAACTATTTCCTGAAATTAACCTTTCTTCAGTTTATTCAAGTTTTTTTTTTTCTTTTCCCTTTTGTTGCAGGACCTATCACAGTGGCCTACAGCTGAGCCTTTACCTTCATATGGCCGTGGAATAGAACTTCCTGGACGGAGATATCTAAGTTTGATCAATGGCAACAATTTGACAGATATAGCCATAACAGGCATGAGAAGAGACCGCATTCTTTACCATATTAAGTTTATATTTTCTTCCTTAAGCCCATTGCTCATGCTCTTTATATCTTATTAAACAGGGGATAATGGAATCATAGATGGCCTGGGTTCTGTCTGGTGGGACTCTTTCCATTCCCGTACTCTGAACTATAGTAGACCTCACCTCATTGAGCTTGTGAATTCTAAAGGTGTTTTGCTCTCAAATTTGACTTTCATAAATCCCCCGGCCTGGACCATTCATCCTGTTTACTGTAGGTGCGTTTTAGGAAAATTTTTGGTATGTTATTCATTGTTCCTAAGTTTTTTTTGCCTTTAAATGTATTTGCATTGGTAGTTAACTTAATAGCATTTTTTGGATGTATTTCAGCAACTTAGAGGTTCATAATATAACAGTCTTTGCTCCCTCAGATTCTCCATTTACAAATGGTGTTGTTCCAGGTTAGCTTCTAATCCTTTATTTCGCTATATCTGTTTCTAGGCTCATTTCTCTTTATCATTTTCATTCTACTAGATGCAATCCAGGCAAAAAACGAAAAAATAAAGGCTAAAAGATTCAATGGCAACCATTGTAATTTTCCAAAACAACAGGACCGACTTCCGATAGTGTGTTTAGCCAAACATATAATCTTTTTTCTTTTCTGTTTTATTGACCCTCTGGCTATCCATTTGTTGATCCTGTTACTGTAGAAGATATCTTGCTAAATACCACTTTTATTCTGCAGGCTTATATATCTTTTTTTTTTCCAGCAAGGCAACCCTGATTGATAATGTCTAATCAGTTCTGATTTTTTTTCTATCTTTTCATTTTTTATTATTATCATAAATTTTTAAATGTTAGCCATCATACTAGCAAGTCATGCATTCCTTTTGTCACCATTCAATAATAAATAGATTATCCTGACTTTCTCAACTGAGCTTTCTAGGAAGAACTGTAGCAGGAACTATTACATTTCAAACTTCTCTCATGTGTTCTCAGATACTCTTATCCTATTGCAGCAACATAATATTTTGGAAGTTTTATATACATAACACTCAATTCCTATGTATTTAACATATATCCACCTTAGCTAAGCATGAAAAAGTTCTCAAAAAATAAAATAGTTATATTTTTTATGGGATATGAAAAATTTAAGTGGTATAAATATAAAAAAATTAAGTTTAGATGTTAGATATGCAAATACATAGGAATTGGGTAATATGCATGTAATTGCTCCTAATATTTCTGAACTGTGTAAAGATAGAAGAATCCTAAAGTTGGGAACACTGATGAATACTTAATGTTTGTCCATTTGATCTTACTCCACAGATTCAAGCTCAGATATATGCATTAAAGACAGCAACATTGCTGTGGGACATGACGCAATCTCCATCAAGAGTGGTTGGGATGAGTATGGAATCTCCTACTCTAAACCCTCCTCCAAAATCCAAATTACCAATGTCTTCCTCCAAGCTCCTTTTGGCTCCGCTCTATCATTTGGCAGCGAGATGTCAGGTGGAATCTCCGACATCCATGCCGACCATCTCCATATCTACAACTCGAAAGTCGGCATCAACTTCAAGACAACCCGAGGCCGTGGTGGCTTCATAAAAGACATACTTATATCCGACACAGAGATGAATTCCGTTCAGACTGCAATTCAGTTCACCGGGTATTGCGGCGGACACCCTGACAATTTTTATGATTCAGACGCACTTCCGGTGATCAATCGAGTTACAATTAAGAATGTTTTTGGTACTAATGTCTCTGCTGCTGGTGCTTTGTATGCTATTGAGCAGGATCCATTCACTGCCATTTGTCTCTCAAATGTTAACATAACCGTGGCACCCACTGAAGTTTCGGCTTCATGGAATTGCTCCTATGTTTCAGGTTTCTCTCAGAATGTCTTCCCTGAGCCGTGTTCTGATCTTCAGCTAGATTACTCCAATTCTTCTCTACTGTGCTACTCCTTGGTAAACTATAAGTATATTCCTTTGGCTGCAGTATAAGCAGTTCTCCCTGCTGCTGCTGCTGCTGCCGTTGATCTCTATATTGTGCGATACTCTCTCTTTCTATCTCTTTCTCTCAATTTTCTCTTCCTCTTCGTGATATATTGAAGATGATTCTTTTCCTGTTCAATAAGTTTTATTCATTGAAACATCAAGTGTTGCGAGTCAAGAGTCCCAAAGCTTATGTACTGTTTTTGTACAGCCATGTCTTCTTCCATTCAAATCTGTAAGAAAATTTTGAACTGATGGCAATGCAGTATATTTGATTTTATTTGTTTCATGGATATAGTTCAAGGATTTTAAAATAAAAAAATGTCATTAAATAAGCAATTAAACTGTTTATTAATTACACATTTAATTGACTTTTAATGAGCTACTTAAAACAAACAAAAATTTTCATAAACATAAATAAATAAGTTAATGTTCCATTTTGATTTTTATGATAAATTTTTAAATTTGTCATATTTATTTAATTTTAAATAAATGGGAAATAACTCCAACAGGAACAAGCTCTTGAGTGCACTAATTCCCTTTATGTCTTCTACCTCTGTAAAGGAGGGAAAAAATTTGCGTACATAAGACGTACGCAGAGCTGCGTACGTCTGTAACCTGAAAACAGGTTACAAGGAGGATTTCAAGAGGTTATAACTGCATTATATCCTCTGTAACCTCTCTGTAACCTATCTGTATATGAAAACAGAAGCGCGGAACTTATTAGAAGATACAGGTGCCACATGAGGTATGACGCAGTTGTAACCTCCTGAAATCTCTCCTTTACGTAATTTTTTCCATAAAGGAGAGATTTATTTAGGCGAATGAAATTGAAAAGGGGCACTTACACACATACCCCCCAATCACTATGTATTTACAAAGAATATCATCACTTTAACTTCTAAAAAGCGCTCGTTTATATGCATGGTTAGCGGGTCATGCATGCAAAAATTGATAGTGTAGGTAATAGATGTGTAAATACACAGGAATTGAGTGGTATGTATGAAAATCTTCCAATTTAAAAACCTTTCTTAATATTAATATTAAGTTCATATGACTATTATATAATTTAAGATTTATAAAATACATAAGAGATTCCTTACATAATGGTATTATAAAATTATATCAAGACGGTTTCCAGCTATAAATCTTCGTAGAAGATGTAATTATTACTGATAAAATGTTTACATAAATCTACCGACGTGGTGGGTATAACGAAGAGATTCGATTATAGGAGTTCGACTATACTTCATACAGAAATTCCAGCAGAAGGTAGGCTGTAAAGTTGATTGGCCCTGATTCAGTGTGTTTGACCACGTGCTCCATTACGCGCAAGCCGGCAATTCACATGACAACCGATATTGACTCAATTAGACCCGCTTATAATCGTTTAATAATTAAATACAAATTGTTCAGTAAAGTACTTATTTATTTAATATATGGTCCATTACAAATTATGATTTCACACTCAATATGCTCAATAAAGCTTGGTTACCTAATGACCTAAGCTGAAAGTGCAATGTTTTTTTAACAAACCAAAAATATAATAAAACTCTAGTAAGATAAAGCTTGTGTGAACTCTTCTTTGGTTCAATTTTTCTTTTGCAGTCTTAAGCGTGTATTGCCAAACTCTCCTGGATTGGGTTCAAGTCATGTTGCAAGTTAGCTTCAATTTGCTGGTTTAACACAACATCCCAACCGAATAATTCGTCCAAGTGAATTTGACCAAGATAGCTCGGCTTGGTGCTAAACTAATCAGTTGGGCTTATCAAACTGGCCAACCTGTTTGATATACCAATTCAATTAGTCATCTATAGCAAATCTTAAGGATGTGTTCTTCTAGCAAGTCAAGTCAAAATCGTCATCTCACCAAAGGTTCTAATCGATTGGCAGGATGCATATGCTATACATTCAGTTTTTCTATTGTGTACTTTCTTTCATATGTACAATTCCTACTTTGGCAGACCTCTTCGGAATAACTTTAGAGCTATAGTCTTGACTTACCATGTAGTTGTTAAAATAACAAAAGGAGGGGAAATATTTACTATCGACGTAGACTTTGTACAATATCGAGCTTATCATTTATAAGCATTGCTTTTGCAAAATCGCATATAAAATACTTGAGATGAGATTGTTGCAAATTGTTGTCTTAGTAATTACTTGAGTCCGTGTAATGCTTTGTGGAGCCGACTTACATAAGATAGGTATTGGGCATAAGTAATGTTTGGAGGTTGATGCATATATAAGCTTATGATATGTCGTTAAGAAAATTACAGAAAGTATAAATCTTGATGTATTTCTAATAGTAAATATTTCAATTTTTAATTTAAGATTATACAGACCCTAATTTCAATAAGCTTAATAGCAAAATAATAGTCTTAACAAGATGAACTAAATGATATCAAAATTTATTATTTTTGGGTCCTTCAAGCCAACATCAAGCCATTGAAGCACATGTGGATGCTTTGGATCAAAATTTATTATTTTTGGGCCCTATTTTTTTTTTCTTTTTAAAAAGCTCTGATCTACGGTTGAGATCGTACAGCGCATACATAAAACTTTTTAACAGAGGCAAAACTTAATAATTTTAAAAAGTAATCTCAATTTTTTTTAATCAGATTGGGAACGATGTAAAACCAATAAAAGCGTTCTAAAAAATATTTAAACAAACATACTTGAAAATGTTATATAATTATTTTATTGTCAATACTATAACTATTTAATTAATTAGTATTAAATGAATAAATGAAATTTATTAAATTTTTAAAAGCTAGTGTACTTAAAGTCTTATTAATTTATTTAAATACATATATTTTTTTATAATATTATTTAATAATCATATATTTTAAAATGTATAAAAAAATTAAATTAATTATTCTTTTAATATTGTTAAGCGATAGATAAAGGCGACTTAAAAAATTAATAACTAAAATTTTAATTTAACTTAAATAAATTAATAATAATAATAATAATTAATTTAAATTTAAAATAGTTTTTTTATCAAATTCCTGAAAAAACAACGTAATATTTTTTAAATATAAATATATTTGGGGAAAATAAAAGTAATGTATAAAAATGAAATCAAAAGTACGAACAGGCTGAGCGGTCGCATTCCCTGTGAATCTTTAATGTGTTTATTGGGTTGATATTTAGAGCCCATTTGGGGCAGTTTATTTGGTGCGGTGACGTTTTGAAAACACACCTGGCCTGTTTGGTTAAACTGCATTTTGATAGATTACATATTTTCAAAATGTAGAAAACAACGTTTTCACACCGCACCTATCTAGGTGCGGTGGGAGCTTATTGGCAATGATTTGCCTTTTTCAAAAATATAAAAATTTGTAATAGCCATCGCACCTAGCTTATCAGCAGATTATTTTTAATCAGCTTATCAGCAGATTATTTAATAAGCTACAGCTGCCCCAAACATACCGTTAGTCCCACACTACCAAATAGAAATATTATTGCTGTTTGTTGATATTGACCAGCACAGTTATAACTGACATTGACCAACACAATAATAACTTTAATTTGTGATGTTTTAATTAATCACTATTTATTAGTATTAAATTTTCATTTAATTAAACTAATAATGTATATAAAAGCATATATAAATTTATTAAAGGGCCAATGGATTGCACTGATTTTAGTTTTATAATTTGGTTTTTCACTTGAAAAGCTTTTAATGTCTCTGTCTATCATTTTTAACATCTTGGCGTGTAAAATTTTGGCATGCATTAACATACATAACTTATTTTTATGTATTTACATTTCTAACATTTTAATTTTAGTTTTTATATGTCACCTTATTAATACATAAAAATGTATATTTTAATGATATTTTTTATATGATATGAAAATTTTGGTATAAATGTAAGAAATAAAATTGAAGTGTTAGATATGTAAAATATATTGAGATTGAATGGCATGTATGTAAATATCCCAAACAAATGATATTTATTTCATCGAATTGAATGTGATAGAAGATTGTGACAGGAGTAAGGGCGCAGCGATAGGGCTATTTTCCAAATAATTGAATTTCCATTTATTATTATGCATGAAGATGCTGAACATATGATTCGAATCAGCAGAGAGAGCTGATATGATGACAAAGGCAAAAATGATTGCCAAAGATTTGCCTTCCATTTAGGGGGAAAAAATTTACATACGATAGACGTACGTAGCGCCGCATGTGATTTCGAGGTTATAGGGAGGGTATAAGGGGTTATACCTGTTGTTATAACCCCCTGTAACCTCTATGTAACATAGTGTAACCTACTTGTAACCTACAAATAAGTTCCGCTCTTCTGTTATCATATATAGTAGGTTACAAGTAAGTTACAGAAGGTTATATGAATGTTACGAGGTGTTATATCGCGGAGATAACTCCGTTATACCCTCAGTATAGCGAGAAATTGTATGCAGCGCTGCGTACGTCTATCGTACGCAAATTTTTTCCCCACTTAGGGAGCCCATAACACAAAATTGATATTAAATCCAGTAGATATAGCTATAGAAATGTCTTATTTAGCATTTTGATGCAGGTTTTGGGCATTTGTAGAGCTTTCCCTATGCATGAAAAGGTTTATTTCACTTTTTGGAAGTTAAAATAGTGGCATCTCTTTTTATGTGATATAAGAGATTGGGGTGGTAGAAATGTAATAATAAAATATATTAGAATTGGGTGGTATGTTATGTAAATGTCCCGGACAGTTTGAAAATGATTATCAACTGAATTTATAAAATTGGAAGGGCTTCAAAACGGTAAAACCTACTGAAAGATGAGATTTTTTTCAGTTGGATAAAAGTATACTCCATTAGAAATTAGTGGGAACCATGGGGCAAAATCTCGGAACCTTCTTTACCCCCGCATTTGCTGTTATTATATTATGGAAAAAGATCTAGCCTTTTGTCTTTTGGGTGGGGTGAGAATGCCATGCCCTCCAACACCTTCGCCGAACCCAGATTTTTCAAAAAGAAAGTGACGCCAAGCGAAACCCCAGCGAAGGAGAGGGAAAGGAACGCCGAAAGAGGGAGCGGAGCAGTGGGATGAGGACCACAATACCGCTACAGCGGCCAAGCGGCGGCGGAGAAGCAGACGGTGACGGAGATTCCGAGGCCGGCGTCCCCTGTTTCTGCTGGTGGAGGTCGCTGCCGGAATACGAAGGTGGCGGCGGCTTAGAGACGCCCAAGGCTTCGTCAGCGAGAAATGCGACGGCGAGGATGAGAGTTGTGAGGGAGATGGAGAGACTGGCTGCGGCGGCGTCGGAATCGATCGACGAGCTCCGGCATCGGCTGCTCACTTACAAAGCAGGGGATCTCTGGTTTCCTGCAGGAGGGATTGCGAAGCAGGACACGGACATACCGCCAGTTATCACGTTGTTATTGCTTGGCTTCGCCGGAGTTGGGAAAAGCTCGCTAGTTAATCTCATGTATTCGGTTCTTGGGAGGTCCGGCTTCGTTCCATTCGCTCACACCTCGTCCCCTGCCGGTGAGTTTGTTTTTTTTCTTTTTTAAATCTAAAAAAAGGAGTTTCCTTTTGTGTTTCCCATGTTCCGAAGTTCTCAACCATGGTTGTAAAAATCTGTCTTTTAAGGCAAGGAAGGGCGGACGCTGAATTTGGAGGAGCACAACGTTCTCCGCTCGATGAAGTACGGATTCTGCGTTTTCGACTCTCCCGGCCTAGACTACGAGCGTATGTCCGAGAGCTTTGATGAAGTATCCCATTGGGTAGAGGATGGTGTTCGCCATCGTCAGCTCTGCCATGTCTCCTCTTCCTCCTCCTCATCTTTCGCATCCTTCCCTTCTACGTCTACCTCTACCTCCTCGGCAGCGGCCGGCAACCGATTCATGCGCCGCCGCGTAAACTGTGCAGTGGTCGTCGCAAACCTCTCTGAGATCCACCGCTCCCTCATCTCCGGCCATCTTCAATGTCTCGACGCCACCCGGCAGCTTTTCCATCATCCATCTATAAGAGAGAGTTGCAGTAAGTTAACCCACTCATGTAATCTTCAACAATAAGAATGGTTTTTAATTAGTTCCAATTGTCAATCATCCAACATATTTATAATTTTACAAGCATTGGTTCAATGGTTTAATTAAATTGTCGGATACTTGAAGCATCTTTATCTCATTTGTGATAAACATATACATTAGTGGTGCAATCTTATTTAGTTTACAGATATTCTGAAAATTAGTATAAATTTGAATTTTAATTATGTTAAATTTATGCTTCAATACTCAATATTAAGAAAATAGAACAATATTGAATGCTGCATGTAAGCATCAAACTTCGAATCATGTTTGAATATGAATCCAAAGTGAAATTTGTTAGGAAAATTTACATACATATCATACAATTCCCATGTATTTATTTATATATATATTCACATTATCTAACATCTAAATTTTCCTATTTATATTTACAACACATTATCTATACATTAAGAGGTTATATCTCACTTTTATAGAAAATTATTAATTGTAATATTTTTGATGTGATTTGAAGAATTTGAATGCTATGCATGCATATATAAAGATTTAGTGTTAGATATAGAAATAGAGAAGAATTATGTGGCATGATAATTTGATACAACAAGGCCATTGTATTATGAAATAGTTAACATCCACATTAATCAAAAAAAATTGACAAACCTATTTTTAAACGGGTGGTTATATAACAACATTATAATTAAAAAATCATTCTTTATTCCCCCTTTCAAGCATTTGCTCAAACGGTTGGAGCTCACCCAATTTTTTCTGCAACAGATGACGCACCCATCCTCATCCTAACCCACGGCGACGAGCTGACGGAAGACGAAAGGATCGACACAAGGGTGGCGCTGTGCGAGTATTTGGGGGCGGCGGAGACTGCTGGCGTGTACGACGTTCCCTGCCTCAACGACCACGGCGTCCACATCGATGAGTTCGACCCGGTCACGGCTTACGCCATTGCAGAGGCGGTCTACCGTGCGCTCGTGGTGGCGGACCGGTGCCACCCGCCCAAACCGGGTTTTAGGGACTGGTTACTGGTGGCGCTGTCATGGGCAATGTGCGCTCTCTCGGCCTTCTTCGCTTTCCTTAGCTGCTGCTGCTCTAAGCTTGCAAAGTTAAATAGAGACTACCAGAAAATGAGATGAAAGGGATGCCATAAGTTGTAAATAGCTAGAGCTGACTAAGATTAATGGTTTTGAGGGGGTTTTTTTTTTTATTGGTAGGTTTAGAAGTTTTTAACTTAATTATACCCTAGTTAGGATTTTTTAGGGGATTTAATTATAGACAACTGATTAACTTTGTATTTGTATATTTTGTTATTTACATCTTAATAATTATTTTTATTCATAATGTCAAAAATATCATTTGCATTAAGTGGTGCATGCCACTCAATTCTTATGTATTTATGTATCTAGCAGGTAAACTTTACTTTTACATTTATATCATGCTAATCTTTCATATTTATTTGAACTTTGATTTGTCCAGGTGACACATCCAAGGAATAGAGTGTGAAGAGAGAGGGAGAGAGGGAGAGAGGGAGAGAGGGAGAGAGAGAGAGATAACATTAATGGGCAGTAAAAAAAATATAGAGGTGTGTTCGGAGCAGGAAAAATATATAGAGCAGTAATGGTCGTTTTCAGCTTTTTAACTGAACCTCCCATTCTTCTTTCTTTCTTGAGGCATCCTCTCCACTTTGGTTGATGTAAGACCATCTTTTAGAGCTCCAGTTTGTAGTTATAAGATATAGTTTTGTTCCTCTAACTTTAGGGCTACCGAGATCCCACATGGACGATGCAATTCATGGATTATTGATCGGGGATCTATAGACGTGTTGGGTTGATTACCTTCACAATTGGGTAGACCTAAGGTCTTAGTGACTTTGGATAACGGGTTCGTGTTACCTCGACCCAGTTACCTCTATCTCATAGGATTAATCTACCATTCCTGTTATTGAGCCCCTTTGAGCTCTGTCATTCCTTTGACTTCGTTGGTATCATTTTATCAGCCTGAAGCTGATGGGTTGTCGTTCATTTGAGATACGACAATTTGTCCTTCGCCATTATGGCCTGGACGTGCTGTAAGGGCATTCACTCTTCTTGGGATCTTGTAAAGTGTCACATTAGGGATCCGCTTCACAAGTATCATCGTATACTGAAAATACTGCCCGAGTTTGGGTTTCAAAATTTTGTACTGCCCGACGACCGGTTATGATCAACTGAGTCACCGTAGATGTTGTTGTCGGTTATTCCCATTGAAATGGCTAACTCCAGCCCAATTATGAGGGCTTCATATTTTGCTTCATTGTTTGTACACGACTCTGTTAAATGGTAGGAGTACCTCAACGTTCCCCGCTCTGGCGTAACGAAGATTAATCCAATCCTTGCTTTGTTAGGCACTATCGTTTGCAAATCTTTTCTTTGTATGATGATATAGTGAATTATATTTTAGTGACATTATACTCTATGAATTAATATATCATCAATGGAAAAAGTTTATTCATGATGTGAGATCATAGTTTTGTGATGACCCATATTTATATAAAAATTGTGATGATCAAGCTATTAAAAGATGTGTACCATTAGAAGAAACATGGGAAATTATTCAAAAATGTCATGATTTTGAGTTTGAGGGACACTTTGGTGTTGATAGAACTGCATTCAAGATATTGTAATATGAATTTTATTGGCTTAATCTTGTTAGGGATGTGAATATTTATATAAAACTTGTGATAAATGCCGAACAATATGTAATATATCCATGCGAGATGAAATGCCCCTAAATTATACTTTTGAAATCGAGATTTTTGATGTTTGGGGTTTAGAATTTATGGAACCATTTATACCTTCATTGGGAAATTTGTATATTTCGACTGTTGTAGACTATGCATCTAAGTGGATTGAAAAAGTAGCTCTACCTCACCGTGATGTTCAAAGTGTGCAAAATTTCTGAAGAAAAATATTTTTAGTATATTTGGGATATCGAGAGTAATTATTACAGATGGGGGAAGCCATTTTAAAAACAAGAGGATTGAGAAATTAGTTGCAAATTTGGTATTAAACATAGGATATTAAACATAGGATAATAAACATAGGATAACTACAACATATCACCCTCAAACTAGTGGTTTAGCTGAGGTTTCTAATAGATAAATCAAGAAAATATTGGAAAAAAACTATTAATCCTAGCAAAAAGGATTGGTCTTTGAAAATTGATGAAGCAATATGGGCTTATAGGACTACTTATAAATCACCAGTTGTAATGTCTACTTATACAGTAATATTTGGTAAAGCTTGCCGCTTACGAGTGGAACTTGAACATAAAACATATTGAAATGAATTTAATTATAATTTGAAAGAACCTGATGTGAAGAGATTGTTGCAATTAAATGAACTTGAGAAAATTATGAATGAATCTTATGATATTGCTAAAATTTATAAAGAGAGAATGAAAAATTAGCATGATCAAAAGATTCTTCGGAAATATTTTGAACATGGACAGGAGGTTTTACCATATAATACAAGATTGAAACTATTTCAAGGAAAACATAAGACCAGGTGGTTGGGGCCATTTACTGTAATTAAAGTTTATCCATTTGGTGTAATTGATATTAAAGATCTTAAAAGTCGAAGGATATTTAAAGTTAGTGGACAAAGATTTAAACTTATATAGGTGGAAATAAGAATATAATTAATGAAGTTATGATGTTGGGTCAACTCAACTAAATATTTGGATTTGTCGGGCTGAGGGTGTTAAACCAAGAGCTTATTGGAGGCAACACAAGTTTTTTATTTGTTGTATTTTTTAAGTTTGTCGTATGTTGTGTTATTGTTTGTTGTGGATTAGATTGATTGTTTAGGTTTGAGATGAATTACTTTGATTGTAGTAAGTCATGTGAGATTGTGTATCTATTGTCTTTTCGTTAAGATTGGATTGTAGCATGATTTGGTGGTAGTAGGATCAACATTATCCTCCACACTTTAGTTCTTAATCGAGCTTTGGTCTATCTGGAGTCATGTTGGATTTAGTCTTTGGATGAGTCCATCTTAATTTTATTACTTCCTTTATCTGACCATGTTTTTCATTGGGTGGGTCCAATAACCCGATTGTAGATGAACATGTGGATGATCTTTTCATTGTTCATATTTACTGTTAGAGTGCATGTTTAGAGGACAAGAAAATTCTTAAGGTTTGCAACACATAAGCTAACATATTGGGAACAATTTTGTCAATGGGTTTTACCCTAATAAAATATCTAAAAGCACCCATTACATATTTGGAAGTAGATTCCGTCAAATATTGAAAGTAAGAAAGGGAGATGAGACGAGAAGCTGGATGAGCTAATTTCTATGATCTACTATGTTTGTGTATTTGCTAGTGTGAATTAAGACTTGGGGAGGTTCAATATAGTAAAATTAAATGATTTAAATCAAATTCAGAGCATGCACTAAGGCATTGAGACCCTTGGTGTCAAAAAACTTAGAGATAAACTGGCGCCTGGGTGCCCAAATCCCCAAACCAAGGCACTGCAACCCGAGCAACTTTGCACCCATATAATGGTGCCTAGGTGCGGGATTGACCTATTGCTATAAATAATCAAAATAACAATCCCTATTCTATTATTTTAACCCTGGTTGGAAAGATCACCCTAATTTTAATTGAAATAATTATAATAATTCTGTGAATCTGTCTAGAAATCTGAACAATCAAGGAAATCCTAATTTTTGACCTTATTGTCCTCCGGGATTTAACTCCAACCCTAACCCAAAAGTTAAGGAAAAAAAATTGACTATGGAAGAAGTAATCTTGAATATGAGAAATCAAATACAGAATCAATGGGCTGCTATTAGAAGGGCTGCTATTAGAAATATTGATATTGCTACTGCACTTAGTAATAGACCTTCTGAAATTTTTCCAAGTATTGTGGAAGTTAATCCAAAACATCAAAATAAAGAGCAAATTAAAGCTATTCAATTACGAAGTGAAAAAGAAGTTGAAACAAGGATCCAAAGAGAAACTGAAGTTGATGAAGAAAAGGAAGAAATGGAAAATGATCAACAGGAAAATGAACAAACACAGAGCTCTGTAGAAAAACCATTACCTCCATTTCCTCAAAAGCTAAAACAGAAGAATAAAGATAAATAATTTACAACATTTTTGGAAATCCTTAAGAAGTTAACGATAAATATTCCTTTTGTTGAAGCTTTGGAACAAATGCCAAATTATGCTAAATTTATGAAGGATGCATTAAACAAGAAAATAAAGTTTACAGATCATGAGACCGTTGCACTTAGTGAAGAGTGTAGTGCTATTATTCAGAAAAAGCTTCAAAAAGCTTCCTA